CCCCCCCCCCCCCCCCCCAATATGTGGATTGACTGGACCAAGCAGGCCACGCCATTCGCGTCCACCCGCCGCAGTACTTGATGAAGCGTATGTTTCACCTTCGGGACGCTTCTGGACAGGAGAGCGTAAACATTCCACAGAGGAAGGGGTATGCTCCGTGCCCGTGCCGAGAGGGTGGATTTGCCCCAATCGACCTCCAGCAGCTTTTCAGCCGGAGGCGCGCTCATGAAATACAGGAAGACAGCGCCATTTGAAATAGCTGTCGGCAGAAGGCGACTGGAGCTTGAGAAAAAGAGGCAGTGGCGGGCAGCGAAGAGACTCCAAAGGTGCGCACAGATGATCCACAGAGAGTTCTGCATGCTCCACGAGTTGCATTTGAACCTTTTGCCGCGATTCACGGGGCAACGCATCCTGTCTGGATGCGCTCTGTCAAGAGGAGTCTTCGGCTGGCACGCTCGCGGATGCTGCCTGAAGCAGCAAACTGAGAGCGGCTCTGCCACATGGCAAGCAAGCTTGTAAGCCAAGCAGCAGCTGCTTCTGCAGTGGCTTGCGCCTTCGCCTTTGCCTTCACCACGCTCCATGACACACGCAATCTCTTGGAAGCTTGAAAATTCAGAACAGCAGAGGCCCCATCCTTGAGCTTTTTCTTTTTGTTCCACGCTCGTGCAGAAAGGTCGCCTGGCGGCTTTGCTTTGGTGACAGCCGACAGCTGCAGCAGAGTTGAAGCAATTTCTAGCTCCCTGTCCTGTCACGATGATTGCGTCGATAGATCTGTATAGGATAACCAGGACTATCACTGAAGCCTCAGCTTCTTCAGGCCTGTATTCCGGACCCAAGCTGTTACGGCTGCACCCACTTGCTGGCCAAGATGCGCCAAATGCTCCAAAATACATGGGGAGGCTGGCGGCTTTCTTGAGCGCAGCTTCGTTTGCCTTAACTGCGGCTTGCGTTGAGTTGGACCTCAGCTGATGCCGACATGGATTAGAGAACCTGTCATGCACTAAGAATACGAATAAGAATAATAGTAAAAAAGCAATTCGTAATCATAGTAATCAGTTTAGTAGCAATACTACATTCAGGCTGAAGCGAGTTGGACTCTTCTGTGGAGTCGAGGTCAGCAGGCGGTGTTCGGAGTGCCAGGCCAGGAGGACCAGCCTTCCCTTTTGCACCAACCTAGGTGGAGAGTGCGCGGCCAAGCGCCAGCTCTAGAGAAACCGCCGCCAAGTTCTTAGACCGTGACTGCTCCCTTTTCGCCAGGCACGCCTGCACTTTCTTCCAGAGGCAGCAGACTGAGAAGATCCCAAGTAAGCACAGTCGGTCAAAATTGCCAAAATCGAGCAGCAAGTTGCGCCTTGCGGGCCTGGAGGGCCTTTGGTTATCTGAATCAAGTCGCCAGTCATGGAGGCCACCTGCCGGAGCTACAGCAACACCGCATCCTGACAGAGTGCAGCGGCAAGCCTCCAACTAACCTGTCAATTCTCCGCTGCAGTGTAGCCCGTGCCTCATACACGGGTCTCGTCTTGGCATTTTGCGCCTGAATCTGCTTGACCTTGCACAAGAAATATATCTACCCGAAAATCTGGGATTTTTGAAAGGGTCAGCTGTCCTACTCTCCATGCCATGCTGAGGGTGCGGCAGCCTCCCACGCAGCTTTTGCATGCTGCTTTGCAGCTACAGCAGCTGTCGTCGCATCAAAGGCCTTCGCTGCCTGGAGCTGTAAACTTCTTCAAAGGGCCATCAACAAGCCAGCTTCCGAGCGATTTCTGCTGCAGTCTGGTTGCACTTGAGACAACTGTACGAACCGGCGCAGCTTCCTCGCTTTGAACACTCTGACTGCTTTGGCCGCTTTGGCCGCTTGGGCGGCTTGGGCTTGGCGAGGCAGATTGCGGGCGCGAGCTCGACGACTGCGAAGCCTGCAAGCCCAACAGGTGTGCAAGCGTCTCCCAAGTCAGGATCTGGGCCTGTGAACGCGTCACAATCCGAGTGTTTTCAGGAGCAGGAGGCCCCGGAATTCTGTCACCCACTTCGCTTGAAACACGGCTGTAGCCTGTGTGCAAACACTGCAAGAGTTGAACCCCATTGCGCTGAAGCTTCTGCACTGGACAATCTCTTCCTGCCTCCACCAAAACCAGGCACGGCCTGCAATCGAACTCTGACGCTGTCTGCCAACTTTCTAGCCCGAATCCGTTTTGCATCTTCTCGACCAGACCCAGAAAGCCTGTCATTGCCCAACTATCTAACCTTCAGAGTTCTTGAACTCGAGGGTTAAGTAGGAGGTTCCAATCACGCCCATTGAAAATGCTTAGGTCTCTGCCACCTACATCGCTGCTTTGTCCTTGGCCTCTACATCATCCAGTGCGTCGTCGGCTTCCTCCTTGGCCATCTTAGCAAGCTTGTCCGACTCCACAGCTTGTCTCACCTTGGCAAGTGCTCTTCTGAAGAAACCTCCTGGTAGGACTATGCAGTTGAGCCACTGCCTTGCTGAGGCTGCCATCAAACTTTTTCAAGTTGCGGCTGATCTTCAGCATGGTCTTGCCAAGATTCTCCGTACGTGAAAGCAACTTCTGCACCGCTTTTCGGGATGTGTTTTGGTCTTTCAAAACCTCGTCCAACCTGGTCAGGATGCACACGGAGCAGGCTCCTCTCCAACCACTTGTTGACAGTCTATCCTCTTCCACATGGAGCTATGTGTAGGGATTTTTCCCACCCCGTTGCTGCCCAGTAGCGTTGTACCAAGATCGTCGACTTCGTACTTCAGGTTGGCTTCCCTGGCCTTTAGCAGGTCCGAAGAATTCCTCGCTTTGCTGGCATCCTTCTGTGCATGCTCCGCAGTGTTCTCCTCAGTCCCAGCAGTGCGAAAGGCTGCACACACGTTTGGCAAAACTGTAGGTGTGCCGGGGTATCTGCCGCAGTCACGGCTTCGGTCCCAAATTCGATCACTTTGCTCTCGACATCCTTGACGACCTCAGAATACACAGTCTCGCCTGAGGAAGATCGCGGCACCGAGGCTCTTGCTCGCTCCAGGATCTCATCTTTTGCCTTCAGCTGGCCGTCTTGAAGCTGAATGCCTGCCAGATCCATAGTTCAAGAGGTCTTTTGGGAACCCAGTCAGTGCGTCAGCCCTCGCACCATGCACCATGCGAATTGATCATCTGCCTGCCAATTCTGCCTCAAGCCTTACAGCAGTGACATTGGTCTGATTCATGGCCTCAGGGGCGCAGCGGACCAAGGCATTGCAACAAGCTCAAAACCGCGGCATTCCATGCACATCATGTGCAACTCTGGGCTGCAAACTTCATTGACGTTGGAGTTCACTGTTGCGAACGTTCCTGCTCAAAGCAGCACGAGACATCAGAAGCGAAGTGCCATGCAAGAATAACATGAACATCTTGAGAAATATCTTTCGTAGGCACACTGTCGGTGCCTTGAACATCTTGAAGCTCCTGCAAGAGAGCTTTTACAGAAGCTTCTCGCGAACGTGAAACTAATATGGACACCACCATCGGCGTGATCCCCTCCAGCCTGTTTCTGCGCGGCATTTTCCTTCTCAAGCTCGTAGATCTTTTCATCCGCAAGGTCAAGCCTTCGATCCTGGCCCAGCAATCGCAAGATGTGTCAAAACCCGGTGCATGTTCTGGAAGCGACAGAGTTGCCTGCGCGGCTACCATCACTGAAGCTCTGGCAGCCTGGATTCCGAAAGCTCTCTGAATCGAGTCAGCGCACTAATCGCAGAACGACTCTTTCCATGTATCGATTGTACCATCACCCCCGCCCCAAGTCCTTACATTACTACAGCGCCTAGCGGCTCATGGTAAGCGCACGCAGTCAAAGCCCGTAACCGCTCGAAGACACCATCGCGGGCCATCACAACATAAACGTAGAGACACACAGGATTGCAGAGAAGCCGCCTGCCGACACTTGAATTTCAGCCGAGAGACCGCAGCTTCAGCCACTTTGGCCACTTCGAGGGCATTGGCCAAGCGCTCTTCCAAGTCCGAGTCAGCACTCTTTGCCTTCATATCGCGTGCAGAAAGTTACAGCGGGGAGGCTTATGCTCACGCAACCCGGCTAAACAATCCAATCTTCGCCTTCATCGAGCTTTGCGTGGTTGGAGGACATGAGATGATGAGTTTTAGGGCATTCCGACTTGTCTGTCCCGACTTGTCTTTCGCTGCTGTACACGACCTTTTCCACTTTGGGTTTTGCCACTACATCTCAGATACAGCTCCTCACCAGTTTCTGGGGCTCTGAAATTGTGCTGCTGTCTGTGTGGTCAGAGCGGTGGCCATTGGCTGATGCCAAACGCCGTTCTGTGTTTCTTTGCCGTGACCAAGCTAAGTTGAAAAAAGCCTCGCGATTTCAAAAAGAGCGTCTGATAAATCATTATCAACTTATGGCATACCATGAAGACCCAGAAGCAACAAACGAACAAAGGAAACTTATCAAGGAATCGTCTTCAGCATTCGGGGAAGCTTCGCCGATGATGGCGAGGTTGCTTGGAAGATTTTAGGATGTAGCCCTGAAATTTTGTCTGATTGGCTGCACACAAAAAAGCTTGAAGCGAAGTACTAAACTAAATGTTTTGCTTCGGGGCCTGAGTCCATAAATCCTGTTGGACGCTGCAAGATACGATCGCAGCGAAGTCACACAACACAAAACCCTGGTAACTGATGGCCAGCCTTAAATCTGTACCGGGGTCATGCAGAGAACTACTGTGACTTGCTCACGAGCTGGCACCGAGCATCTGTCTTAATATTCTATGCATTCCGGCCCTAGACAACCTCCGGCGCAAAAGTGGTCCATTCCAAGAAACAGAGCTGAGACAAGGATGGTATTGGTATATAGGTGAACATGGCGGTTCTGTTAGCGACTCGACAGCTCATGTATGCAAATGCCGCACTTCTGAATAAGACATGCTGGTCTACTTCCAAGGTCAAAGAATGGTCTCTGCCAATGCCTCTCGTCGCACCAGTGGCTGAGTGGTTAGTGTCAGGTCCACCTCCTGCTAGCAATCTGATACTCCGAAACGTCTACCCATGCCAGTTGCTGAACACACAGTAGGCCGCAAACGGGGTCATCTGCGAAGCAGCTTACAAGTACCAGAAGTAGAACCTTTCATGGAACGGTCAGGAAGCTGCTTGCCAACATGCCATCCTTTGAAATAAGTGCAAGGCCGCTCGTCTCCGGAGGTGCATCCTGAGGTGAGGTCATGCCCCCCTACGCCCGCCAATGCATGAACGCATGAAGACTCATGATAAGGCATAGTGAGCAGGCAAACGAAAATGTGTGCACACCGACAGGTTTTTCCCAAGTCTCGAAGATGAGGGATGTCATGGATGTGTTGTCTGACCACGAAGGAATCTCTCGATCCACGTGGCGCCGGCCGGGCATCATTCAGACAACAACAACTGTCTTGAAAATGTAACTCCCGAACCCTCAAGATAGCCATCCTAAGCACAGCCTCGCCCGCAACTGCCGCAGCCGCTTCTCTGTAACATCCCTGCCCTCAACACTCTAGAGGGGGCTTCTCATTCGAATTTGCAACGGACTTAACAGCAAGCTCTTGAGGTTTTCGACTCTCTGGCTGGCCCCAAACATCTCACAAACTTTCGGTTGATGATCTGTCTCCAGAACTGTCGTGTCCATCCGTTCTTCCACTTGGTCCGCTCTGTTCAGCTTACTGGAAGCAATGACAGCATCCATCCTACCGTTCTACAACATAAGGCCCTGGGCCACCCCATTTGCCACAGCCCATGACCTCTGCCAGATTTCCGACCTGCGCTTTTTGTATCTTCAGCCCAGAACGCCTTAGGTGGACTGGGGGTGAAACCATCCGACCATGTGTGAGACAATTATGTCAGTCATGTTACATCCATGCAAAAGCTTCTACTTCGCCCTGGAGCTATCATCCTGAACCTGCATTCCTGAATCTTCAAAGCCAAACCTCCTGAAAGTAACCCCATGCGCGTTGCGGTAAAGCCCGGGTCAGCTGGCTTGAAGCTGTTCCGGCCAGACCTCCACCATGCAGCGAGCGCTGAGTCTGAACGTTCGACACACATGCCCATCCCTGGCACGAACACCTGCTCAATTCAACACATCCAGGATGCCGACGCGTTGTGAGCTACACGGCATGCCAAAGTTGCCTCATTGGTTTGATCTCTGGTGCAACAGCTGCCAAACAGCTGCCACCGCTGCTTTAAGCTTCAACCACGCGACTCCCAGGCACGGCCAACAACTTCTCCGGTCTTCCGCCTCGCATCAAGCTCGTCAACAAGAGCACTCCAACAAGAAACACTAAACCAGCAACTCACCGCAGAGCCCCTGAGCGGAAAACCCCAGCGTCGGATTGCTTTCACAAGCCTGGGTCAACCATACCATCTTGCATACAACTCCAACAATCAAATCCCATCTGTGAACATCCACTGGATAGATGACTGTGTCGGGTAAGTCCATCACCTTGACGATATCAAAGCCGCGCACTGCCAGCTGGAAATCCTGTCAGCTCAGGTAACTGCCGCGTACAAGTGATCATGCGTGGCATTGGTGTTGTCTCAGGGAGTCTCCGCAGAGGCAACAACAGGCCTTGACCACTCGCATGCAGAAAGCGACACCTTGGTCACGGGAGCATGCCTGCACCTAAAGCCTTGACAAGTTGCCTTCACTTTTACCAAAAAAATAATTGTTCAAGGCACAGTTTGTGAAGTGCTTCTGCGCGTCAGGTGGGCTGGACACCTCCGCAACTGAAATTCGCCTCGGCCTCTGTCGACAGGCGTCTGGAACAAGCTGACCGGGATCCAGCCTTCTCCCCCTCTACCTACCCTCTCCCCCGCCCAAAAATCAAGTAAATCGCGTCCTCCCTCTTGGGTCCTCAGCATTCTGGCAGCAAGAGCCCCCCAACTCCCTTCCCCCAAGCCTTGCCAGACTCTTCTTACTTTGTAAAGCTTACTTGCTTCGCGAACCTCCTTGCCAGCCCGGGGCTGCCGAGGTGCCCCAAGCAGCGCTAGCGCTTAAAATTATCTAAAAGGCCCATAAAAAATACGAATACTGATAACAGTAATAATAAAAATGATGGTACACAGGAACACTCCTGCCGAGAATGCCGATTAGACATGGTTGGCTGAGCAGGCGCCTTGAAATCGCGCTTCAAGTCATTCTTGAGCACCCCTGCGAGTATTCGACCAGCCACCGCAGGGGCTCCTCCAGCATTGTGCCGAATCGTGTGGACCTGCATGTCAGGGTTCCAGATCACAAAACACCTCAGAAGAAGCCATATCAACGTTGGGAGGGGTCCCTTTGCTGCAGACCAGCCTGTGGATGCTCTGGAGAAGCACTGGCTGACATTCCCTGCAGAAGGACACAAGTCAATGAGGCGTTACACTGGCAACCCAGTACACTCACGGACAAATTGAGCTGCCCAGACATTAACCGTTAAGATTGCAGACTCCAGGTGTCCAAGAGTCCTTCACGTCCCGGTACCGCGCTTGGACAGAGCGGACGACCTGCACAGGTTCACCCTCTACAGAACTCTCAATGCAGAAAACACTGCTACAAGTATTCACTGTCAGACTTGGGTACACAAGTCATCGCTTGAGGCATCTGTTCTGCTGGCTGCAACAGGGCTGCAACACACATGCATAATCATGCATATCTGCCCCAGACTCAACGTTGCAGACCTGCTCACAAGATTCTATATCGTCTGCGAAGTACATGAGGATGCCTTCCTGGCATGAGAGGAGGACAGCTTGACTTGTGCAAATGGGAAAGGCAAGGCAATGCACAGCAGCTGAAGTGCAAACATCTCAAAGATGCGGCCTTCACTGCGTACAAAAGGCAGCATGACCATAAGCGCTCGCGTGTGGGCGGCGGCTGGCAGGCATGGCCATCAAAACACTTTGCTGGATCTTTTGAAGCTTCGTTGCCTCTTCAAGTTCGCCAAATTTCTCTAGCGAGAGACCACTGCTCCGCGAGGCGCTTTTGACCCTGAGGCAGGCAAGTCTTGTGAAGGTTCTAAACGGGAAACAGGACTGTGTACATGTGTGATTGCACTTCCAAAGGCGCTCATCTGCGTCCAAGCTGCATCTTGTTTGTAGGGCTCAGCCTAGTTCCAGACGGACTCCGAGTCCTGACGACGACAAATGTCGGATGGCATCTGCAACGTGACTGGTAAGAGTCTGATATGACTGTGCGTGTATCGAGTCTCATTCAGGTCTCCACCGCTGGCCCCCTTGCTGCTAGAAGCTGTGACTCGCACATCCAGCTACATTCTCTTCGCAGCTTCTCCACTGAAGGGCACCTCGTGTCCCTTGGCGCACGATCGATGCTTTACTGTTTTGGGCACGCAGTACTCGTGCAATCCCGTTGCTACATGGTCAATGGCATGACCCAGGATACGAAAGCTCAACGCTTAGCTGTGGACTGCGATGCCACATCCTCTGATGGTGACGGTGGTGACTCCTGCTTGGCACCGTGCACAAAGTTCGAGTGACAGGAGAGTGACATTATCTAGTCGCTCATCTAGAAGATTGACCAGTCCGTCTCCTTCCTCTCCGCAGCGGACACCTGCAGAAAAGAGAGATCATGACTAGAGTGCCCGAGGCCTTGCCGGAGGCTGACAGGTATCTGGAACAAACAGGCCGGTATCTGGTCGTTTTGCCCTCCCCCTGCCCCACACACCCGAAAGAAACTACACTAACTACACCCCTCTTGCTCTGCATGGGCACCTGATTCTGCAGCAAGTTGGGGCGTCACACTGCCCAAACAAACCAAATCAAGAAATTGACCTCCTCACGCACGGGTCAGAGGCCTGGGAAGTTTGGATCTTAGGCCCGGCCGCCCCACCTCCTCCTGACGCCCTGAGGTCAGTCTCCTTTGTGCAGTTCTTTGAGGTCGTTTTGCGGGCCCAGGGTCTGCTCCCGCACCAGCTCCCCACTGCGTGTGTGGCTGGTTTGTGTCCCACTCTTTTCCAGCAGTGCACTGCTCGTCAGCGAGGCAGTGCTCGCGCTAGCGCTTAAACTATCACCTGCCCCTACAGAAGATCACACACATGGGGTCAACACGCTGATGATGCCTCTTCCACTGTCCGCGAGAACTTGTGCGGAAAGTTGCTATGAGCTTGCAGAACCAGACCCTGGCAGAGGGCCAACTCCATGCAATCTGGCAGCATGTCCACACAGTCATGCCAAGGTGCTGAATAGCATCGGCCACTCTCTGCATCAAAGCCGGCAACAACTACGACTTCTGCAGCTTCACTGACCTGAAGGATCAGCCCAGTAAAGTATACGGCACCTATGCGACTAGCCGGCCTGAATATAGTCACCACCTTGCCTTACTGACCCGGGGAAGACGTACTCCACCTGCTGCGGCAGTGCAAAATTCACTGGCTGGCCAGATCGACATTTTTTGGTGGTCCCTATAATGAGGGTTGTAATATTTTGGTACTTGTTTTTGGGAAATTATCCCAAATTTGGGTAGTCCCTAAACCCTAAACTCTACCCTTCAACTTAGCCGCAGACATTTCCAGGCCGAGTCAGAAGGATCTGCCGCGACTTTGCCAGAGGCGTGTATGTGGCCGTTGACCAGATTGATGGCAAAGCCGTCTGCCAGGGACAATGTAGTTTCCATTTTCTTTTCCATCATCCATATAAGATTATCCCCATGCATCCGTATATCAGCCCCAAAGAATCCAGGAAGGCTACGTTTTAAGACTGACTTTCGAGATGGATGTTCCAGACGTCGTCTCATCGGGATTGGCAGGCCTGAACATTGAAAGTATCAAGCCCCCACAGGCATGGTCTACTAGGCCAACCTCGATGCTATGTCCGGGGCCTGGTCTTCAGGAGCTGCTTACGTGCCCGGGCACGTTCATGCTGAGACAAGTGCCTGCTTCATGCCTGAGGGCCCGTATGATGTCCCGAAATGAATCTGTTCTGGCGATATGTTCCATTGGCCTCCATCTGAGAACTCTTTTAGCTTGGATTATCTAGAGACAAGGATGCAGCCGCATGAAAGCCCAATTCCTATCTTTTTAGAATGCTGGCATGTTGAATGTGAGGCTGTGGCTGGCAGGCTGTGCTATCAAGCTGTTGAACAAGTCCACCTCTTTGGCACTAGATTTCCTAGGTCAGAAAATTCACTTCTCCCTCTGCAGAGACCACCTTGTCCAGGGTGTTTGCCTGAATCAGCTGCAGGAGCAAAGTCCTCATGAGGCAAAGTTTACTTCGACTTAGGCCCTGACCCATTCTTCAGCTCCACGCAGAGAGAAGTACTGACCCATGGCAAAGGTCGGGCACTAAAACTGTCGGGCGAATTCTTGTTGCACGTGGACTCAAGGCTGCCTGTGATCCTGCAGCGTGTTCTTGACAGTATACGGTGGTCTACACTCTCATTGGTGGCACATGCAGCTAGAAACGGAACAACAATCAGATATTCCTTCAAAGCTGGTGCATGCATGAGATGGATTCACATGCAAACAGTGTCTCTTGCAGCAATCCTTGCCGCTCTTGCAGGAACAATCGCATTTTCCACAGGCGTCTGCCCGCAAGCTCCCGTGAGCAAACCACAGGTCTCAACCTATGTTCTACTCGAACCGGTTCTTGGTGAAACACGCCACCGATGTCATGACCAAGAAGGCTTGAAAGCCGAAGTGCGCCATGATTCCGACGAGGAACGTCTGGTATCCTGCCTTTGAGCAAGTCTTGATGATTTCAAGCCCACTTCTTTTGTCACAAGACTTCCAACTCTTCCAAGTGGCCCGTTCGTCATCCTGGACCTGTTGAGAGGAGTCCCCGGTCCACTCGAAGAAAAGGGGGTGGATGGCCTTCCAGAACCCTCAGATCCGTCAATGTGAAAAGCAACTCATGGCTGCGGAATGCGTCCAACAAAGGCGCGGCACAAGTGTCCTTGCCTTAATTGCATAGGCAGATTCCGCCTGCTGAACGGCAAGCCTCACAGCCACACCCGCAAACAAACTCAACATCTTGACTCAAAGGCTTCGGAACAAACCAGCCTGTAGAAATCCCGATCCTCGTCGTTGGTTATTCTTAGGCCACCCTTTGGGCCGTCAGCGTTGTACCTGGCTCTGTGCAGTAAATCGGCCAACTTTCCTATCGCCTGCCTCGTCCGATGAATCATGCCAGGCTCACGCCCCGCACTTGAAATCGGCTTGCTGGTCGGAACAGCAGTTCTTACCCACCGCCCAGAAGTCGTAGGAACTGAGAATACATCTTACAGCATTTAAAAGCCTTGCGACTGGGCATAATTTGAGCTCCACACGCCAGCACCATGTTGTTCACGGTTATGGGGGCTACCTGCTGCTGCTAGGCAATGCCAAGCTGGAGATCAGCAGGACTTCCAATAAGAAATTGAAAAAACATACCGGGCGCACGCAAAATGTGTCTGTGTTCTTGAAGCCGTTCGCAAGGTGGAAATCCAGAGTGGCACCTGCAACGAACTGGACCTTGCCTGCGTCCATCAGCTCCTGTCAGGTCAGTGTCTCGTGGCAGCAGGCTACCCTGCTGGTGTCTGTCCCTGCCTGGCCCCGCATAGTTGCAGGATTCACCTCAACGTAGGAATTCAGCGAGACCAAATCGAAAATGGAGCGCATGTTGGTCTGGTAGTTGTAGCCTTGCGCGTTCTGCCGTGCTTGCTCACTTCTTAATCGAAGGCTATCCGTGAAGTCAAGGCGACGACTGCCGATCAGCAAGCCCAGCAGAAACGCTATTGAAGCTGTAACGGCAATGAAAAGGAACCACACGGAAAATCTTCCTGGGAAAAAAGCTTCTGAAAATGGATTCACTGTTGCGCGGCATGGCTCCTGTCTCAACCAGGTGAAACTGGCCAAACATGATCGCCCGGCAAGAGAGCTGTACCTGGTCTTGCACTGCATAATCAGAATCTGAAACCTCCAAGAAAGACCCTGCGCATGTGAATTGGTTTCTGCATTGACTCTTTGCTTTGTCTGTGGTACAATGACAATGGCCGGGCTTTTGCGTGACCATCAGACAGATCGAAAGACATCGCCAGAGGTCGTGGCTTGCGTGGCTTTCGGCTTTGTCTTTGTCGTGCGTGCTCGCACCCTATTCGCATCTTTTATCAGCTGAAAACATACAGACAGGAAACGTCTCACTGTCGAGTAGAATCTCGCAAGTACCACAGTAGCTTCCAAACAAGCACTTGCTCTCACTGCAAACAAATTCTCTCCATGTCAGGCGCCTGACAGTGTGCATTCAAGTGCAGCGCTGCTGATGAGCTGATACGTCGCTCTCTTTAACCCGCCCCTGAAATCTATGCAATGCACTTTCTGTACTATGAATGTAGATATACATTTCTATACATATGAACTCAAACAATAAATTGATGTTCCCGAGAACTAGTAACTAGTAATACTTGGTGGATATCAATGCCCCGATCGCAGATTTGTTCTTGTCATTTGGATGCATCTCTTTTCGCAGAGTCCGGTCAAGTAAGCTCAGAACCCTGTAGAGGGTGTACAGCCCCAGGAGGATGCCCAAAGACAGCGTGATCGCGATCACCCTGATTCACACAAGCTTCTTCGCACACACAGTCCATGTTTAGACCTGCCGCTGCTAATGCTGACAAGTGACACTCCTGGCGAAGTATACCGCAGCTTAAATGACCAGAGCGCAGACATCAAGATGAACCTTATGATCTGATGAAGACGAGACTTGCAAAGATATACGAAGTGCTGCCTTTTCACTGCTCCTCAATGGCCGCCTAAGGCTGCGGCACAAACCAGGGCACAAAAAGTGCCATGATGATGCCAATCAGGTTGATTCGCTGTCGAGTCATCATCTGCCAGAACACGGGCTTCTGTCATGATCGGCAGGCATTTGCTAGTGAAATTTCTCTACGTCTGTCCGCATCAGCCTGCGGAGGTCCCATCAAAGGCTTCCTCTGGCCTATTTCATCCTGTGACGAGGGACGGACATGCTGCAAGCACAGGCAAAGGCGTGATATTTGCAAGGCCCTGGCGGCGTATGCGCCGCCATATGGATTTCCTTGCCGGGCTCAGTTACAGGTGTCCCAGTCAACTGGACATTGCAGCCACACCCTGGCCTTGCTGCATAGCATAGTTGTCCTTCCACAAAATCAAAGCGACAGAAGCACAAACCAGCAACCGCAAAGCTAGGCTGCCAAAGTCCTTTCCGTACATGCTGGCACTCGCTTCTTACGCTTGCAGCCTCTAGATTCAATGGCAGTTTTCGCAGAAACCTATCGTAACTGATCTAGTCAACATTATGTGGAAATGCCTCTCCTGGCAAGCTTGCACAGCTGCTCTGAGGCTTGCACCGTCAGTTGGACAGGTAGAGGTCCGGACACTGTGAAGTTTCAAGTTCACTACCAGGACATGAAAGATGCTCTTGAGATTTGAGCCCTAACAAAAAAAGAAACACAGCCGGTGTTCAACTGCGGCTTGCGGACCGGCATCGCTGCACACATATCCTTTTTGAATCGGACCTTTTGCGAGTGTTGGCATCTTCTGCTTGCTCTGTGGATAAAAACCATAGCCTTCCATTATGCGAATGCTTCAAGAAGCTGTATTAACCATAACTCAATCTAACACAGTTGACAGGTGCACAGGTATGCGTCAGCCTAGGATATGCTTCAGATGACATCCTTGTTGTCAAAGCAACAGTGAGAAGAGTCAATGATGGCGGACAGTGGCAGTCCATATCCATATCGTCTTGTTCAGAACAGCCGTTCTTGAGCTGCCTTCGTGGCTCAAGCTCCAATCTACTGCTTGCAGTGCACGGTACTGCGGTCAGGGAGAACATCCAAATGACAGGAGCCACGAGCACGATGTTCCATCCAGTCCTTCGCAGCGGCGCACAGCCAGTTGTAGACCCAGATATCTGTGAAACACATCGCTAAACAACTCTTCAGAGTCTGGCACAAGTCCTCCAACTGCGACTCAGGGCATGCGCACTGAGCGCGGTAGTATTGATACTTGCAGCGGGTATCCTGTAACAGATGACGAATCGAATCCATGCAGCATGTGCACCATGTGTCTCAAAAGAGGCCTCTTCTCCCAGTTCGCGTGCACAGCGGGCGAAGACCGTGAAGCGCAAAATGCAGTTGTTCGACTGAAGATCAATGCTAACAGATGCTCCAGGACGAATGCAAGGAAGGGCCAGGCACAGCAATATAAAATCTGACCAGTTTGCCATCTGGCTATGCCTGATTCGTCAACGACAGGAAGCGCGGATCATCCTGCCACATATGTAGTGCCTATGGTAGCTCCATGACACAAGTAGCTCTGGAAGCATTTTGGCCCTCTCTTGTGGTATGGCGGCATGTCTGAACTCTACGATGGCAACGAATGCCAGCTGAAAAACAAAACTTCTGGGATTACAGAGTTCAGCAAGTGAAGCCCGCGCTGGGCTCAAGAAATTAACGAATCACAGCACAGGGTGTGCCTGAAGCTACTGGAATCTACCTAGTCATCTGGCGGGATTGGGTAAGACCAGTCACCTTTGGTCTGCTGGCCTTACCATGGGACCTATTCTATCACAAGCTTGGGTTCGCTTCTTCTCTGGCTTGGCCAGAACTTGCCACTAACGTGCCGAGTTAGGCTGTACACCAACGGATCATCAGCTGGCTATGTAGATCATGAGGGTGATGCCAACCTGTACCATGGTAGCTTGGTATGATTTCCAGAGCACTCAAGCAACGCCACTGCGTGTTTGGAGCAACAAGCTCTTGGCCTTTGTCCAACTCGAAGACCTAGACCTTGGTCGGGCCAAGCTTTCCAGCCCTCAACCGGCTTTGTATTTGTCACTCTTCGGCCCCCCTTGACCATATACATGCACGGCATTCTCAGACTCCATCATCGAGTGAAGCACCCGCTCGATGCGCAAAAAAACTCTAAACTCCCAGTTTGGTAATCTATTCACGGAACACAGTGTTGGGGCACATGCTTCTAGGCAGGGCAGGATTGATAACACTTGCTGCGCTGCACAGGACTTCCCTTGAACAGTCCACTTGCAACCGGACACCATTGTGGCCAGCGCGAACTCTCTGTCGCTGAAATACTCACTGATTTCCTGCTGGATGGCCTTTGGCAACCTGCTCTTAGCATACCAAAAGAGCTGAGCATGCAGAACGCGACAAGGAAAGCTTCGCACCTTTCGTCGCCGGGATAGACCTCGACATCGCCAACCACTGTTGTCGACCTCATTTCACGAAGCACCAATGGCTGGGGAAAGCAACTGTCAGCTCCCCAACCCATCTCGCCAACACCACCTCCCTCACTTCCAGGAACAACACTGAACTTGTATTCGCATTTTGAGTAAGTGCTGGCTCATAGCTTCTGCACAATATATACACACCGACCTTACCGTGTGGTGCAAGCAAAACAAGCAGCTTGCAATGTGCGATGACTTGGAACAACGTAGCTGGAATGGGAAGGCGCTTGCTGCCTTGCAGCACGAGAGAAGGTCAAGAATGCAAATCAGATGAGGGGGGCAAGGAACAGCACTCAATCTTGGCTCTTGAGGATCGAGGACTGCCGCCAGGCACTTCCTCTATGGCGTGTCCAGGTGGACGAATGTCCATGTCAAGCTGTACTTGTTTAATGATGGAGTCTTATGAGCATCTTCATTGAGTCAGCGGTTGCGATCTGCATTCATCAAACTCGTTCGGAGAGTATGCCTGGCCACTGTTGCGGAAGCCTTGCTGTCCCAGGTACTTGTCGAGGACACCACAGTCTTCGAGCAACTTCAGGTCAGGGACATATCTCTCCTTCAAGCTATGATTTGAAAGACGGTATCCATCTGTCAGGAGATCCAAAATAATTAAGCGCAAGGCAAAGCACACTGCTCTATCTGGGTTAAAGAGAATCTTCAGACAGGCAAGCGAGAGAGGCCACATAACACTAGATCCATTTCTAGTCCATTTCTGCGGCTGTCTGATACTGGCGAATGCCAAGCCCCGTCCTTTGAATGATCCACTAGGACAAAATCAGCCGGCTGCCTTTCCATCCTGGCATGCTTGTACAATGTGGACGGCACGCACTGATTCTACACCAATCCATGTTTTCGGGGCGCCACGTTTTGTAGCAGCACATTTCAAGTGCAGGGTCAGCTGCCTTTCCGTGATGTTGATCAGCTCAGAGTGAACAGTGCCCATCCAAATCTTCACCTGGTAACACTTGACGTTCCAGGCGGGATTGATCTGTGAGTCACATGACAAGCTGTCGTATGCTGTCGTTACTGCAAGTGCAGCTTCAACAATTGAAGCGACCTTGTTCTCATCAGAAGGGCTGTCATCTTAGCAGAAACTCCTTGATCTACAAATCTATGAGGTGGTCCTAGCCTTTGAGTCCATACCAGCAAACTCGATGATCTTTGTCGCAATTGCCGCGAACAGCTCATCCTGGAACTGCAATGGTGGCTGTTCCATGTAGTAGCATGACTAATGTTTACCTAACATTCATAAAGGGTTGACAAGAACAGGACTAGAAAAATCCTGGAAGACTACAAGTTCCGAGCCCGAAAAGGTGCAAATAAGGTCCATCGGCAATAGCAAACTGGTGACAACAATGAGATTTCTTTCCCGAAAATATCCCGATTTAAACAAGAATTCGTTCTACCCGTAAGGCTAGTACTACGACCTTCGCTACCTAGTCCTACCCCCACCCCCTGATTCATGATTGCGACCCCCCCCCCCTCCATAGATCAAAAACGCAACACAAGATCTAGGGGAGGTCATTTTTGTCACCTCAACATTACTTGCTGCCGGTTCCGTTGTCCTTCTCCACACTCAGAAGCTTGCCATCCTCTGGCAGATTGCGGGCTATTCGAAGGGCGCTGTAGCCACCTATAGCTGGCTCAACATGTCAAGCACACTTGTCCTGGTGATTGCATCCTGCTTTAGCCCTTGCCAAGTTGCAGTAGGTACCCATCTCCAAGCAGCGCACAGGGTGTGGGGAATCTGCCTATCAGCTAACATCACATCACGCGGCAGCTGCATTGACCCTCCTAATCAAGATCGAATAATTCTACCGCCAGTATTAATCGTGGCCAACACCTACCGACCTAGACCATCAAGGAGCTTTTCTTCGTTTTCAGTACAACAGGCGGTCTCTGGGAACAACCAGCTAATGCAGTCTACTTTGGCCGCATGCTGGCTGGCCAGTTGTACCACCAGGCCCCAGGCCTGGGGCGTCTAGATCTCGGGACCTCCTCCCAAGACGCACCCTGACGCAGATCGCCTTTTTATTCAAGGTTTCTGGGCATTTTGAACATGGCCATTTAACATTTTCGATTCCCCCTCATACCCACTACCTATCCCTCCCCCTGGCCTCCCCCCTCCTCCGGTAAGGGGGTCATTTTGGTCCCCCCAAAAAGGGTCATTTTGGTCCCCCCAACCCGGACGC